AACGATTCGAGACGACTCCATAATCACCATTCTTTTATCTAATTTTTTGTATTGAAAACCACACAGTTTTACAATACAGTGCAGTGAGTCTAAGCATTTGTAATTATAAAAATCTTCAGGATAATCTTTTAATTTATCCCGTATCATTTCCAACGTGGGTACCAAATTTTCTTTATAAAATCCGTATATTATACGACGAATATCTTCCTGAAAACCCACGTCTATTCTTTTTAATTATTGCCATATGCGATTTCTGTGGAAGGAATGGTTGACTACATCTCCCCTTTTTATAACCCGATAAATGGTAGACCGACTGATTTGTGTCAGGATACAAATTCTGTTTAAAATTTGATTTTGCGAGGAATCTGGATTTTCGTTTTTCAGACAATCATACATATTTAGGATTACTCTTTGGGTCTGTTCCTCTAAATCTTTATGAAAGAATTCTGCCTGCACAGGTTCATCAACCATCTCCTCGTGGCTTGGAGCATTTTCCCAAGGTCTCCAAAGAGCCATATTTAGGACACACAAGAACAATCAACACAACAATTAAATCAACAAGTAAACTGAGTATTCAAAAGTCAAAAACACACAAACTAATAAAATCTATGAAAAAACACGGACAGACTAAAGAAAACACGTTTATTCACCGCTACACGGCACTGGCTAAACTGTTTCAATTTTCAGTAGCCACCTGCACTTGTTCGGAGCTCTGAAATACACGTTTTCTCATTGGCTATGTCCACGCATAGGCGTGCTTTACTCCACGTGGACCGGTGAAACTGCCTTTGATCTTATATTTGCTGCGAAATTTGGCGATTTTTGCAGCAACAGAGCGTGTTAATTATAGATATATAAAACGCACCCGGTATTTCACAGTGTTTCAAGTGACTTCAGATAAAGTATACGCGACGATAGTGTAGGTCGTCGGAAAAACTATCCTTACTTAGCAATTATACATGAGAAAGTGTGGATGCTGATTACTCAACAGGGGAACGGATTACATATAGATAATACTCTGGAGCAGCACGCAGGCTGCCATTTGACCCGGGAAATTAGTTTGAAATATCTATTTCACCGGTTAGAGCCCGAATGGAATTTGACATGAGATGTCTGGTGCGGCAGCGTTCAGTCGCTGGTCCGACCGAAATGAGTAAACGTATAAAATTAGGGCATCAGTTGCTCTAATCAATGTTTTTTTTAGGAAATAGATCACAAAAAGTTTTCATCGATATGAGCACTTCTTTAATATCATCGGGAGTGCCTCAAGGGACGGTTCTTGGACCGCTTCTTTTATTTTATATATCTCCGATCTTGCGCTTGTTATACGTTGCCATATCGTAATTGCTGAGGCTCAGATTAATGAAGTTTTGAGATTTATCGACAAGTATGCAGAAATTCAGAATCCTCACAAAACAACTTTCGATTACAAAACTCGGCAAATTCTCTTGAGTCATTGGTTATTTCAAAAATTGCATACTCCGACCGTTGCAAAGTTCACGTTGCAGATTAATATACTAAGTGACATATAAATCCGAACACCCAGTTTAAATGGTTTTATTTTAATAAAAGTTGGTGAATGTATTTATCTTACTGTAAATAACAAGTGAAAAAATTTTCAGCATTATCAGTTGGACATTCCGGTTTTTATACTGTTTTTTTTTAATTCACTAACGCTCTAAAAATGAATATTTCAGCCGCAGTAAAGAATCAACGTTGGCGGATTTTGGTTCTTGACATCCTTTACGATCTGTTACGATGCCTAGAGTACGGAGACCTGTACGATTTCGTCAATAGTGAGTTTGATAGGGTCCCTATAGTGGGACTTCGGGAGCTGGATTTTCTTTTCGGGCAATTGCCGTTAGAGTGCAAAGAAGTGTAGACACTGTGGTTAGGTGTTGTCAGGCATGGCTTCGAGATGGCCGTACGCAAAGTGCAAGATGCACTGAACGCCGCCGTAGAACAACAGACCGTGAAGATCGCCGCCTAAGATTATTGGCCTTAAGGGACCGTTTCTCCACTACCAGGTCCCTTGCAAATGAATGATTTGCAGAACACGGAATACCTATTGGCATGCGAAGTGTTTACCGACGACTGAGAAGTTTTGGCTTGTTTTCATACCGGCCACACTGGGTCCTCCCTTTAACTCGAGAACACCGAAGTAATCGCCTTGAGTGGTGCAGACAACGGTCACTCTGGGATCAGGAATGGAACAGTATTGTCTTTAGTGACGAGTATCGATTTTGTTTAGGCATGCACGATGGTCGTGCCAGGGTTAGAAGGAGACGTGGTGAAAGGAGGAATCGACAGTTTTTTGTTCAAAGACATGTTCATCACACTGTTGGAGTTATGGTTTGGGGTGCTATAGGTCACCTTTAATCTTCATCAGAGGTAACATGAACGCGCAGCGTTATATCCACGAAGTTCTAGAACCCCATCTTTTACCCTATCTTGACACCCTGGCAGATCCAACTTTCCAACAAGATAATGCCCGACCACATGTTGCAAGAGTCACAATAGACTTCTCTCAACATAATGATGTCACATTGTTACCATGGCCACCAAGATCTCCCGACTTATCCCCAATTGAGCACGTGTGGGATATGATGGGTAGGAGATTGCTCAATTTGCAACGTGCTCCTCAGACTCTAGAAGCACTTCGAGAGGAGTTGGTGGTTGCCTGGAATGAGATACCACAGGAGGCCATTGACCACCTGATCAGAAGCATGCCTAGGCGCGTTGGAGAATGCGTATTAAAATAAAACCATTTAAACTGGGTGTTCGGATTTATATGTCACTTAGTATATATTGTTTTTATTGTTTATTTTGTGTATTGACATTGAGATGTAAGATTTCATCTTTAGTTGATCTCCTTTGAAGGTTAGATGATTCTAGAAAATCTCCGTGACCGATCTCCGAGACGTTGATACAAATAAGCAGGTCAGAGCATTGTTTTTCCTTCTTCATCTGAAGTACATCGATGATTTTCTCTCTGTGGTATATGCATACATCGCTTTCTAACGGAATTCTTATTAGGAACAACGAAAATTATACGGTGTTTCGTTATAACAATCACATGCAACGGCAATGTACAGCCACAGTTGAAAGTAATGCGTCATACTTTTGCTAAATGTGTATTATTCGAAACGTCATAAGCGCAGATCTCGTTGTTTATATCAAAATTTGATAATAGAAAAAGACTTACTAAGGATGGGATTACTTCTGCCGTTATGAAGTCCTGTGCTTCAGCTCTCGCATACCCCCTGTGCATTATATTCAACTCCTCGTTTCAAAATCACATCCTTCCTTCCTGTTGGCGTACTGCATCTGTGACACCTATATACAAAAAAGGAGATAAAACATCTGCGAAAAACTACCGTCCTATCAGTCTTGTGCCTATAGCTGCGAAAATAGCCGAAAAGATCGTCCAGGAACAACTTATGACATTTGCGTTCAAGAACAACCTGCTGCCTAGCAACCAACATGGTTTTATTCCTGGTAGATCAATTATCACCAACATGTTACACTGCATTGACAATTGGACCAGATCTTTAGACGCAAATGAACCGGTCGATGTGGTTTTTCTGGATTTTTCCAGAGCTTTCGATCGAGTTCCGCATAAAAGGCTCCTGCACAAGCTTGAACATCTTGGAATCAGGGGAAATTTGTTGTTATGGATTGAAGCTTTTTTGTTAGACAGATTTTTCTCCGTCCATGTTGGAGACGCCTATTCTTCTAGCCATCGTGTTACTAGTGGAGTTCCACAAGGATCTGTGCTAGGGCCAATACTTTTTCTTCTTTATACAAGCGACCTTCCCACCCGACTTTATTCTATGTGTTCCATCTATGCAGATGATACTAAAGTCTATAACACTGTCATGAACTCATCTGTGCTTCAAGAAGACCTCAAGCTGATCAGAAAGTGGTCAGAACTTTGGCTCCTGCCTTTAAATCTATCGAAATGCTAAGTTCTCCATCTGGGAAAGAATAATCCTAACATAACATATAAGATTGGCAAACATACCTTAGAGACTGATCTTCATCACACAGATCTTGGTCTGACAGTTAATGGTCGGCTCACCTGGTCGGAGCACATTCAGAACATAACCTCTAAGGCAAAGCGGTTGCTATATATGATGGAAAGATAATTTAGCGGTTGCACCGTTAGTACCTCCTCCTTTTTGTACACAACTTTCGTACGACCCCTACTGGAGTTTGCTGGTCCGGTATGGGATTCAAACCTTGTTCGCGATAGCAGCTTATTAGAGGCCGTTCAGCGTCGTGCTACACGTTTGCCATATGGCACACGTAGGCCAAGTTATGAAGACCGCCTCGAGCTATATAACCTGCCTGCTTTTGCTGATAGAAGAGTACGAGGAGATCTCATCATCACTTTCAGAGCACTGCATAATTTGTTTGGTGTCGACATGTCGCATCTGTTTCGTCTGGCAACGAACAGTCTCAGAGGCCATAACTTCAAATTGCAGAAGGAAGCTTTTAGAACCTCTACTCGTCAGCGCTTCATCTCAAACCGTGTCTTCGATGTATGGAACAGTCTTCCATCTTATGTAGTGAACTCGGAATCCGTCAACAGTTTCAAAAACAATTACGATAGACACCGCAGTGCTTAACATATTGTTCCCATTCTGTATATGTCTACTTCAGAAGTGCTAAGATTGTCAAATTGTTATATTTCTTTTGTCTGTACACTATTATCTATTTTTGTGTTTGAGTTTATAGTACTTGTACTCAACTCAAATTTGTTGTTTAATAATAATAATAATAATAATAAAAGTAAAACAACAAAACTGAAAAGAAGGTGTTTTGAATGAACTTTCGTTATTTCTGTGATCAAAACAACTTATGTCCTTTCCGTTACCAGGAAAAGCTGCGTATTTCCAAAAGAACTGTACTCGTACTCTGTGTGAAGGAAAGTCCAAACATTGAAATTATCGTCGGATTTTTGTTAAGTGACTAATTTCAACATTTTTATGTTTAAGGTCCGTTCCTACCCGTTTGTGAGTTGCCGTTGCCATCTCGTACGACCAAGTACGATCGCCAGCCTCGTCCAGAGTCAGTGATGTCCGGTACCGTACTTGACTGTCACTCGCTGTCAGAAACATGTGGCGGTACTAGACCTAGGGCGGAGGTACTTTGCAATATGCCTCAGTTCACAACAGAAGAACTATTTTTGATCGCGATGGCTCTGGACGACGAGCAACGTCAAAATCGATTCAAAAAACGAAAACGGGTTAGTTCGACATTATCATCTGGACTCTTGTTAGACGAGGCAAAAACCTCGCGTTCGTGAGAGATTTTTTCCAACTCGATTTTTTGTATTAAGCGCGTATTGTGGATCACGAGGTTGTCAGGTGGTAACCGGGCAGAAAACGTATGGGAATTGAGCACCGGTCACTTTTAACACCTGTTAGAAAAAATGTCTCATCACTATACGATTTTTTTTTTAAATTGATAGTTGCTTGGTACTTTGTTTAGAGGATTTTTTAAACAAACTGTTTTTCATGGAATGTGGCATTTATTGACCGCGTAGCCAGGGTGCGTCATCTATTACTTTTTTTCTATTTGAAAGATCTACACGTTTTTTACGAGGTGTAATCGATTTTTTTATTGATTAATGAAGGTTGGTTTATGCCATTTATGTATGAAAAATAACATCAGTCATTGTGACCACCGCGGCTTCGTTTACAGGCCAATATCCGAACATCAAAATTTTCAACGACTTTTCCCAGAATAATCGGGTCTATGGCCGCAATTTCAGTCCGAATATTGCGCTTTAGGTCTTGAATTGTCCGGGGACGATTCGCATACACTTTTCCTTTCAAAAATCCCCGAAGAAAATAGTCAAGAGGTGTTGAATCGCACGATCTTGGGAGCCAACTGACATCTGAATTTCGTGAAATTATACGGTCTTGTTTGGCGAGATGTGTGCGCCGTCTTGATGAAACCAAAGATCGTCGCCACCAATACGATCCAATTGTGGCCACAAAAAGTCTGTTAACATGCCGCGATAACGTTCGCCGTTGACGTAATGGCACCTTCAAAGAAGAATGGTCCAACGATGCCACCAGCCCCTAATCTGCACCGAACAGTCACCTTTTCACGATGGAGAGGTTGTTCATGATATTGGTGTGGATTTTCAGCCCCCCAGAATCTGCAATTTTGCTTATTTACGTACCCGTTGAGGTCAAAATGAGCCTCATCAGAAAAGAGCACTTTGGCCGAAAAACACTCTGCCGGCTTCAATTCTTGTTTAAGTTGGATTTCGAATGGATGGAGGTGTAAATCAACGTGTAAAATCTGGCAAATGGCATTTTTGACTCGCATGGTAACACATAAACTTATAGGTAAAAAAAAGTAATAGATGGCGCACCCAGTATATATGTTTTTCCGGGGAAGGTTAAAACTTTAATCTAGACATTTTGCAACTTGAAACATACTAATTTTTAACCGAGTTTTTGTGCAAAAATGCTTCAACGTCTAATACTCTTTTGCGATCATGTAAGGAAGGGTTGACCCCAAACATAGACACTTGGCAACTTCAATCTCTTATAACTTAAAAACGATCAATTAACGAGAAACGTCACCTAGGGCTTTTTTGTTCAGAATGAATAAAAAATTGAAAAAACTGTGCCCGGAGTGAAAAAAACGTTGTTTTTGTAATGTGTTTGCACTGGAGTTCCACCAGTTAACCTCTCGATTCCATCGACAATCGTGATTATGATAAAAAGTCGAGTTGGAAAACGAGGTGTTCGCGCTCGTCTATATGCTTTGATCTAATAAATAGCTCAGTAGGAAATATTGCAATTTACCCCATTGACATGCGCAACCAATGATATTTTGTTGATATTTATTTACAGCATATCTAATGCCCGGCATCGTATATGCCCAGTTCTCACGGCCGTACCAAATTTTAAGGAAATCGCGCTGCCGCGTGTTAGATATGTTGTTTTGGTGCGAGTCATTATACTAACAGTTTAGAGTTTAAAATACGCCACTGCTTTTTTATTTCGAAATTGTCGTATTTTGACTGATGTTTGCGTTTTTTTTTTACAGATGTCAGCTGGATCTCAGATACAGATGGCACCACAGTCTACAGTCAACAGTACACATCCCGTACATAGCCAAGACTCCAATATGAGTACAGGTAAGAACTAATCAGGTTATACAGGGTGACTTCGAAGTTGAGTCATTTATTTTAACAGTGAGTAGACCTGATCAAAAGAAATGTTTTTTTCCTTTACCATTTTTCTGGTAAAATTAAAGTAACAAAGTTATAGCCCTTTAGAAGTTTGAGTACCGCCCTGTCTCAATAATAATATTATGTGCTCGTGTTTGGCAACAACGGATATAATCCGCGTTATCGGTTCATCGCATCGGAAACAAAAAAGCGAAAGAATTTGGAACGATGTTTTTACAATTATTTTATTCAGTTGTATACAGTCAGTGTCAGTCGGTAACGCGTGAGTGAATAGTGGTGTCTGTTGCGTGGCTCAAACGAAATCAAAACTGGCACATGTTTACGAAAATTCTTATTTACGCGGCATCACGGATTTATGCGGATCGGTTTCCCAATCGAGTGCAACCAACCACTCGTGCCTTTGTTAATGTAGTACAAAGGGCTCGTGAATCAGGTGACCGCACGATCAAATACAGGTCCGCACTGAAATACTTGTCGGGAGGATACTTTATAAAACAAGGTAACATTTTTTTTTAATTTTTTTTTTATTTTTACACACATATTTTGGTTTATCTTCCTTCTACAATCATTATCTGAAAATTAATGACTCAACTTCCAAGTCACCCTGTATACTGTGCATACTTATAACGTTAAAATACGAAAAAAAAATAAGTGAACGTTTTGAGAGTTTGTTAATGGATATTTGAAGAATATTTAGGAACTGTGGCAACATCGAAATTTTCGTCTATTCATATTGTTTTTCAGGGTTGAAAATAATACAGGATGTTCGAAAAATAGACGGAGGTATTTTAGAAGGCGATTCCTTGTTAAAAAATATGAAAAAGTGTTAAATCTAAAAAAAAAAATATTTTATTAATATCATAAAAAATATTTATTCGATTCTGTTGAAATTTGGCGATATTATTTGTTGTATTAAGGGGCTGATTGAGCCCTGAATAGATTAAACTTATCAGGTCCAGTGGCGTCCCTGAGGGCACCTTAGCGAATATTATTGTCCAAAAAATGTACGCCAATGCCTTTTTTGTAACTTTGATACGTGTTGTTTGATTAATCGTCTAAAAATACAACTCGTTTGCTTCTTGCATTTTTTTTGTATGTCACTACGTTTTCGAGATAGAGGAAAAAAAATATGTCACTGGACAAAATTGATTTATTAATGTTGAAAAAATCTCAAGTGTCTTGGAAAACAAAAAAATAGTTTATTCATGGAGGTTAATACAACAATTAATATTGCCAAATTACAACAGAATCGAGTATATATTTTTTAAGATATTATTTTTTTTTTAAATTAATCAATAGAAACTTTTTTCCATATTTCTTAACAAGGACCTCTGAAATATATAATTTTTCGAACATATACAGGGTGACTTCGAAGTTGAGTCATGTATTTTAACAGTGAGTAGATCTGATCAAAAGAAATTTTTTCCTTTACCATTTTTCTGGTAAAATTAAAGTAACAAAGTTATAGCCCTTTGGAAGTTTGAGTACCACCCTGTGTCAAAAATAATATTATGTGCTCGTGTTTGGCAACAACGGAATTAATCCGCGTTATCGGTTCATCGCATCGGAAACAAAAAAGCGAAAGAATTTGGAACGATGTTTTTACAATTATTTTATTCAGTTGTATACAATCAGTGTCAGTCGGTAACGCGTGAGTGAATAGTGGTGTCTGTTGCGTGGCTCAAACGAAATCAAAAATGGCACATGTTTACGAAAATTCTTATTTACGCGGCATCACGGATTTATGCGGATCGGTTTCCCAATCGAGTGCAACCATCACCTCGTGCCTTTGTAGTGTAGTACAAAGGGCTCGTGAATCAGGTGACCGCACGATCAAATACAGGTCCGCACTGAAATACTTGTCGGGAGGATACTTTATAAAACAAGGTAACATTTTTTTTTTAATTTTTTTTTTTATTTTTACACACATATTTTGGTTTATCTTCCTTCTACAATCATTATCTGAAAATTAATGACTCAACTTCAAAGTCACCCTGTATACTGTGCATACTTATAACGTTAAAATACGAAAAAAAAATAAGTAAAGGTTTTGAGAGTTTGTTAATGGATATTTGAAGAATATTTAGGAATTGTGCCAACATCGAAATTTTCGTCTATTGATATTGTTTTTCAGGGTTGAAAATAATACAGGATGTTCGAAAAATAGACGGAGGTATTTTAGAAGGCGATTCCTTGTTAAAAAATATGAAAAAGTGTTAAATATAAAAAAAAAATATTTTATTAATATCATAAAAAATATTTATTCGATTCTGTTGAAATTTGGCGATATCATTTGTTGTATTAAGGGGCTGATTGAGCCCTGAATAGATTAAACTTATCAGGTCCAGTGGCGTCCCTGAGGGCATCTTGGCGAATATTATTGTCCAAAAAATGAACGCCACTGCCTTTTTTGTAACTTTGATACGTGTTGTTGGATTAATCATCTAAAAATACAACTTATTTGCCTCTTGCATTTTTTTTGTATGTCACTACGTTTTCGAGAGAGAGGAAAAAAAATATGTCACTGGACAAAATTGATTTATTAATGTTGAAAAAATCTCAAGTGTCTTGGAAAACAAAAAAATAGTTTATTCATGGAGGCTAATACAACAATTAATATTGCCAAATTTCAACAGAATCGAGTATATATTTTTTGACATATTTTTTTTAAATTAATCACCCTTATAGAAACTTTTTTCCATATTTCTTAACAAGGGCCTCTGAAATATACAGGGTGACTTCGAAGTTGAGTCATTTATTTTAACAGTGAGTAGATCTGATCAAAAGAAATGTTTTTTTCCTTTAACATTTTTCTGGTAAAATTAAAGTAACAAAGTTATAGCCCTTTAGAAGTTTGAGTACCGTCCTGTCTCAATAATAATATTATGTGCTCGTGTTTGGCAACAACGGATATGATCCGCGTTATCGGTTCATCGCATCGGAAACAAAAAAGCGAAAGAATTTAGAACGATGTTTTTACAATTATTTTATTCAGTTGTATACAGTCAGTGTCAGTCGGTAACGCGTGAGTGAATAGTGGTGTCTGTTGCGTGGCTCAAACGAAATCAAAAATGGCACATGTTTACGAAAATTCTTATTTACGCGGCATCACGGATTTATGCGGATCGGTTTCCCAATCGAGTGCAACCAACCCCTCGTGCCTTTGTTAATGTAGTACAAAGGGCTCGTGAATCAGGTGACCGCACGATCAAATACAGGTCCGCATTGAAATACTTGTCGGGAGGATACTTTATAAAACAAGGTAACATTTTTTTTTTTTATTTTTACACACATATTTTGGTTTATCTTCCTTCTACAATCATTATCTGAAAATTAATGACTCAACTTCAAAGTCACCCTGTATACTGTTTTTTACTTATAACGTTAAAATACGAAAAAAAAATAAGTAAAGGTTTTGAGAGTTTGTTAATGGATATTTGAAGAATATTTAGGAATTGTGCCAACATCGAAATTTTCGTCTATTGATATTGTTTTTCAGGGTTGAAAATAATACAGGATGTTCGAAAAATAGACGGAGGTATTTTAGAAGGCGATTCCTTGTTAAAAAATATGAAAAAGTGTTAAATATAAAAAAAAATATTTTATTAATATCATAAAAAATATTTATTCGATTCTGTTGAAATTTGGCGATATCATTTGTTGTATTAAGGGGCTGATTGAGCCCTGAATAGATTAAACTTATCAGGTCCAGTGGCGTCCCTGAGGGCATCTTAGCGAATATTATTGTCCAAAAAATGAACGCCACTGCCTTTTTTGTAACTTTGATACGTGTTGTTTGATTAATCATCTAAAAATACAACTTATTTGCCTCTTGCATTTTTTTTGTATGTCACTACGTTTTCGAGAGAGAGGAAAAAAATATGTCACTGGACAAAATTGATTTATTAATGTTGAAAAAATCTCAAGTGTCTTGGAAAACAAAAAAATAGTTTATTCATGGAGGCTAATACAACAATTAATATTGCCAAATTTCAACAGAATCGAGTATATATTTTTTGACATATTTTTTTTTTAAATTAATCACCCTTATAGAAACTTTTTTCCATATTTCTTAATAAGGGCCTCTGAAATATACAGGGTGACTTCGAAGTTGAGTCATTTATTTTAACAGTGAGTAGATCTGATCAAAAGAAATGTTTTTTTCCTTTAACACTTTTCTGGTAAAATTAAAGTAACAAAGTTATAGCCCTTTAGAAGTTTGAGTACCGCCCTGTCTCAATAATAATATTATGTGCTCGTGTTTGGCAACAACGGATATAATCCGCGTCATCGGTTCATCGCATCGGAAACAAAAAAGCGAAAGAATTTGAAACGTTTATCACGATGTTTTTCGTCAGTCGGTAACGCGTGAGTGAATAGTGGTGTTTGTTGCGTGGCTCAAACGAAATAAAAAATAGCACATGTTTACGAAAATGCTGAACTTGTGGACAAACTTGTCTTTACAAAATGCTGCCGCGGCATCACGGATTTGTGCGAATCGGTTTCCCAATCCAGTGCAACCGACCCCTCGTGCGTTTTTTTATTTTTACACACATATTTTGGTTTATCTTCTACAATCATTATCTGAAAATTAATGACTCAACTTCAAAGTCACCCTGTATAATTTTTCGAACATATATAAATAATAAATCACTTAAGTACATCTCGAAAAATTTTGGAATTCATTTAAACAATTTTTGATGCAATTTTGGACCTGGCAACATACAGATCCGTTAAGAGGTCCCTTGTGCAAAAAAAAATTGAATCAGATTATTTTTCCGAGTACGTCTGGACTAGTAATATACATACAGTGATGGACAAAAGTATATAGACGAATATGAATATTTACCTAAATACATTTAGAAAACGAATTCACACTTCATTGCTCCATTTTTATGGGAGAAAAATATTTAGACAAATTCTTTTCAACATTAGTTTAGTACAGT